CCCTTACCGGAATTCATGGAAGTCATTGAGAACTATTGATCCATTATAGCCACCGAATACATATAAAGAGTTGTTATGTACCTGATGCCTCTCACAGTCTAGTAAAAACTAGAGATAGCCTACTCCTACCTGAGCCACTAATGAGCTCCTTCCTGATGGTGGATTCTCCGTCTGGACCAAAAACCACGTTTGAAGATCGAATCTACCACAACTATAACGACTCCCTAGCGAGGCAGATCTCACCTAAACTCATGGAGATCATTGAGCCTCTCCTGTCCACTATAGCCACCAAATAGATACCTGTGGAAGGCTCAACTTCCAATATCATCATCATGACACTACCCTTACAAGGAGTTGCCATGCACTACGCTAGCATGGAAGTAGCGGGGGGAAGGAGGCTGGCCAGAGCTCCTCGTAGCCACTACCGACCATTTCCTATTGGACATCTCAAATCGATGGAAGTCATTCATTCGATGCACTCCATCATAGCCTCCAAAGAGGTATACGCTACCCTCATGGTAGGCCCAACTCGGACACGATCTACCCGTGGGAATATACCCTAATACGTGGGTCTGGGACCAAGCTCCCTCCTCCACATCAAACTCATGCATATCATTGAGCCAAGTCTGGCCATCGTAACCACCAAATACAAAAAATACCGAACCATGCACGCTGGAGACATATCCGAACCTCGTAGAGGGCGGACTCCCACCTTTCACTTCAACTGGCGCCCAAGTGGATGTATCAAAATTAAAACAATGAAAATCATTAAGCCAGTTATATCCCGAGTAACCGCCGAATAAATACCTAACAAGCTGTCGTGGTGGAGAGCCTCCCCTTCCCCCCTACATATGGTTCTTGATAACTACAGCTCCATTATTCTCCCGCCCTGTTGGCGTATCTCCTTTGGTATGCACTTGAGACCTGTCCCAAAATGAGAGCTCCACATAATAACGACTACACTTACCAAAGCCTTGTGTTGAAGTCGAATTTGAAGAGATCGTCCAGACGTCCACTACCACCATACCCCCCTAGCACGTATAAAGCATCATTGTAAACAACACTAGCCGCGCCTGATCTATCTCCAGGGAGCTCCATAGCCTTCTCAGAAGTACATCCATATTGTACTGGACGCCATCGCCTTACCACAGCACGGGAGGAAGGCGTGCATGGTCCCAGGAATGAATAGTGAGGGTCGGTGGTAGAAGGCGAGGTCTCACACCCACCAGCAGCAGAGGGACCACCACCTGCAAGATGCCGTGCTAGTCGGTTGGTTGCTATCCCCGAGGCTCGATCTATGACATCCCCGGCCCCACCACCACCACGAGACGAGGGCTCAGGTGATGATATGGGAGCTCCTGCACCGGAATCCATACAAGAGAATGTTAGAGCTGAGGTAATGCCTTGATCGTAGTAGTAGTAGCAACACAACCGGATTGGCAAGCAATGGAGAGGGTTTGACGAGGCAATGATAGAATAATGACAGTTGATATACAGTTGTCTATTACAAAACCGTAGCTATGCCCTCTCTTGAAACATCTATCATCGCTTTAATGCATTGAGTCTACTTTCCAAGTCGTTCTCTGGAGGTGGTGGAGGAGAGGGAGGAGATCCTACTAAAGATACAGGTCAACTAGAAGTCCTCGTCCTTATTACTACCATCATCATTTCCTCCGTTGTTCTTCTTGTTGTCTGTCCTACTACCATTTGGCTTGCCAGTAGCAGCAGCCGCACCCTCAGCGACAGCCTGTTGCTGAGTCTTCTTGCCAACTCCCACCGAAGTCTTCTGGCCTACAGAAGAATGCATGATGATAGGATCGAACCCGAGACCTCATGATGTTACCAGCAGGTAAGGCTGATCCTGGAGCATTAGCCAAGACCTCATTCATATCAACACCAATCTCCTCCAAGACCTGGCCCACTATGGCCTCCTCCTCTTCCTCATCACCAACCTCACCAAGGACATCATCAATGGTATCTCCCATAACCTATATCATGGTATTACATCAATACCACTCGTCTCTCTACTCCTACTACCTCTTCAGTCAAGCCCATCTTCTCCGTCTCATCCTGGAACTCCTGCATTATCTTTTGTAATTGGGGTAGATTAAGCTGTTTATTCATACGAGCCTGAAAGGCACTTCTACCCTCTCACCATCACTACTACTACTACCATAGCCTGGGTGCATCCCTTCATACTCCTCGCCATTGCCTCTGTTGATTTAACAGTCTGCATCCTCAAACTTACACCCTGTAGATGCGACTTCATTTCCAAAAACTTCGACTCGTATCGACGAGTTCTGACCTGTCCATCACTGTTGAACTCTTCCCCAAAAGGACTCAATTGAATTTACCAAATCCTTAGCCATGATTTTCACTGGTCCCATCTGATTCTTCTTAGCAGCTTGTTTGATATCGGTTATTAATTTTTGCTCCTAAAGTTGACCCGAAGTTACCCTTTACCGTACCGGTCCTCCAGCCTAGTACATTCCTTTGCAACCCCATCCTCTCCCGATCGAGCTCCCTAACGGCCCGGTTTATCATGCGTTTATTGGCGCGCATCTGCTCCTCCAAAGTCAGCTTGCTGGACTGATTCCCCATGCTTCTACGAAAGGAGGGAATCCTCAACCAATCAGTTTTCTAAATGGTTCTTGCGATCCCCGGACCCAGCTTCGCTCCGCTAAGAAAAATCGCGCGCGCCCAGGGTAACAAAGGAGCAGATAATCTCCAGTGACCGTTACTACGCAGCTATCCCTCAATAATCACAACACGATTCACTCGACTCCATAGGAAAGTGTAGGAGGTTATGCTATACTCGTTAGTGCTACTGTGTGGTATTACTAGGTCTCTGTGATGAGTATCTAATGTTATTGTTGTTGGTAAACGCGGCGCTGGGCATCCTCATTTTCAGAGCTGGATAGAGCGTGGACTTCCGTAAACTTCCCTGCAGAGGGCTTTAGGTTGACATTTAGGTTGTACATAATGCTCCTGTCATCTCAGTTCTCATTGACACATGTCTAACATCCGAAGTTTGTTCGACTCCGACAACAATGGTGACCAGGGTGGCATAGACCCTAATGCGACTAGTTCCTTCACAGGAGGGGAGAAGTCAGGCCTGGCAGTCTTCAACCCGCCCGAGCCCGGCCAGAACAGGTCTCCTGACAACCGCTTCGTGGTCACTGTCTATCGCAACGGTTTCCAAGTGAACGGAGGTCCCTTTAGAGACACGTCCATACCAGAGAATGCACAGGCTCTACAGGATATGCGGCAGGGGATAGCTCCTCTAGAAATTCAGCAAGCAGTGGTGGCATCTGGTCAGAACATGCGTGAGGTTCAAGTTATGGTTAATCAGAAGGATGAGGATTACACTGGTCCGACTACTGAGGCCAGTCCTAGTGACGACAATGGTCTTTTTGGTGGTCACGGTCAAACGCTTGGTGGCAGTCTTGGTCCTAAGGTCGAGACTCACACGGGAGCAACGGTGGACTTGGATAAGTCAAAGCCTCTTGCAACCATCCAGTTTCGTTTCCCTGATGGTCAACGAAAGGTACAAAAATTCAATTTGGATTCCCACAGAGTCTCTGATGTCGTGGCATTCGCAGCCTCATGCGTAGGGGCGACTGATTCTACTACCCTTACACTGGTCACTGGCTTTCCCCCTAAGCCACTAACTCAGCCTAGCCTCACTGTACGTGAGGCGGGGCTCGATGGTGCTGCTGTCACTGTGAAGTTAAATTGAGTGATTTTGTTATCTTTTATTGTGAACACCATTTTCTGGATCATTTTCACAGATGACGATCGACTGTGTTCAGTTGGAGTTGAGCTCGTGTATGTATCCCTTTAGTGCAACTACCTACCACATGAACAGTGATCATTCGACCAAGCGCAACATCCAGCTGCCAGACTCTCCTGACGAGTGCCTTGGAGTCGGCATCAAGGTTATTCAAAATGCCTATATGTAGGGGATAGGGTATAGCTGAATGTCGATGGTGAGTGCTAACTTACTCAGGTCTAAGATGCAGTCGTTGGAGCATGAGGTTCGCGCACTACGCTTGAGCCTCGACCAAGAGAAGGCTGCTGTAAGTGGCTGGACAGCCTTGCTAGTCCTGTAGTACCTGCATTACGGTAGCATATGCAAACTATGAAGAGGGCCAATGCGCTGGATGTCGAACTTATTGACTCTCGTGAGAGATGCAAGAAGCTGCAGGAGGAGAATAGAAACCTCATTCAGAACCTGAGGGCGGTGAGCTTGCCTTTACTCTGAGTATTAGTGCAACATTTTCTCGTTATCTCAGCAAAACCAACAGTTGGAGCACTTCGAGCGTCTTAAGCAGACTCTAGTCGGGGGCTTGGACTCCTTCCAGAGTGAATCATCTAGGATGCACGATGGTGACGGTAGTGGTTACGCGGACACAAGGTTCCTTAGGAGAGAGAGCTTCCTTCAAGTGAGCTCTTGTTTTTGATGCCCTGTGGTACACTATTGTCAGGGCATCGCTCCTATGGCGGCTTCCTCGGCCCCTCCACCTATGTGCACTACTGTAGGTAGGGTATGTATAGTTACTAGGCGATCTTGGTCTCTCCTCAGCCTGTGGGGTCGGCCAGTGTATACGGCAGCTTCAACTCGAATCAGAACCATCATCAGTTTGGTTTCCCCAATGCAGGAGGCTTCTCTAACAACAACATGCTTGAGGCTGGTGCCACAACTTCTCATACGTCTCCTGTCAACAACAGTACCTCGTCGATATCGGGTATTGGCATGCAACAGAAGTCCCACGATGTGAGGTATGTCCTCTCCTCCATGCTCATCTGTGTGTCCTTAGAGTGCTATGCCTGATGTGAGCGGCGATAGTGGTGCTGGGGGCCGCCCTAGTGGCATCGATGGTAAGAGCTTCTTTAAAGTGGCTAGGTCCAGGTAGGCCGAGCTTTCGTATGGTAGCATATGGCACCCGCCTCAGGTTGTCGTATGAGTGCTTTAACAAGTTCTTAGCTAGCATCAAGCGTCTCAATGCACAGGAGCAAAGTACTGATGCTACTCTAGCTGATGTGAAGAAGATCTTCGATGAGGAGGGAGAGGGAAACGATGATCTGTATTCGGACTTTGCCGCTCTACTGCATAGGCGTGATTGAGGGGGAGGGTACCATGATGAATTAATATCGTTACCTTTCATGACCGAACTAACACTAGGTCTCGACAGACCACAGCAGCACGTGCACGAGCTATTGAGGTATCTGAATACTACGTTTTGCGCTTGGGGGTGAGGGCGAAGTGATCAAAACACAGAATCGTCGAGCTACCATTGCCATTTACCTATAATGTCAGCGGTAGTAGTAGCCGGCCAGGCACCGGTTGCTACAGGGGCAGTCGACTGTAAGCCGGCTATGAGCAAGGGCGATGATAATGATATGTACCTATAAGAAGGATGTGGCTTAATACACAGGGAATCCATATGGCAGATACAGACGTTTTAAGGAGTTGCAGAAGCAGTTGGAACAGTTGGATATTCAGGAGGAGTAGCTCTGCCCCTGTATGACGTGTTTGGTGTGTCCTAATGGTCATTGTTAGGTATATCAAATATGAAACTAAGAACTTGAAAAGGGAGATGGTTCGAGCACGAGAGGAGATACAACGAGTTAGATCGGTCCCTTTGGTCATCGGCCAATTCTCGGAGATCATCGATGCTGAGCATGGCATCATACAGAGCTCACAGGGCTCTAGTGACTACGTCCGGATCCTGTCCACGATCAATAGAGAGGACCTCAAACCGGGATGCTCGGTGGCATTACATCGGCATTCCCATGCTGTTGTGGAAATACTGCCACCAGAGGCCGACTCTACTGTGCAGTCGGCCGCTATGACGGAGAAGCCCGATGTGACCTATGCTGATATAGGAGGCTTGGATATACAGAAACAGGAGATTAGGGAGGCGGTAGAGCTGCCATTAGTTCAGAAAGACTTGTAAGCGTTGAGGAAATGCAAGATTTGTAAGTGAGCGTAAGAAT